TTTACTCTATATCACAACGAACGTTTACAAACACAGAAATGATAAATTCCATGAAGAAATTACATAAAGCTCTCAGTACCATTATATGCACTACCGGATGCTCCTAATACTTAGTTAAGATATTAAGAATATTGTAAACAATGATTGTAGAAAGATCAGACACGGTGATATCCAAAATATCTATAAAAAAAAAAGTTCACTATGAACGAATTAAATCTGCCACTGTTTTGGCAGATGCAGATGTGACGTCACTGTTGTTGTTTACACCATCTGGTCGTGGTTTTTCTAATGGGGGTAAATGGTATACCGGTACAGTGCCCGGCTCCCGTATTGCGTTCGATTCCGTATGACGAAGATTCGGTGCAGATTTATTTCTCATCTGTTTATACAATGACGCGTCACACTCAACCATCGCTATTCCCTGTACCCCAATTGTCGTAGCATCAATAGGTAACTGGTCTATAGCGACTAGGCCATGGGGTGTATGCTTAACAGGTGATTTTTTGACCCCAGGCAACTGATTTCCGCCTGATACTGGCCCAACTTTCATTGTGTCTGAATTTGATACGGAATCGTCACTGATTCCACCGTGTGACGTTGTACTCGCAACGACGTCTGCGTCGCTATTCGTGCCCTTCTTTCGTGAAGACACTTTTTTACTACCTTTGTTTTTCTTAGAAATTCCTTTTTCCTTTTTACCAGGTGAACACTGTTTTAAATCGTCTCTGATAGGTTTTAATTTATTGTTAGGTTCACTGGAATAGGAGCTAACCCGACGGCGTATATAATCAGGTTGAGTTGAATAAGTCATCCGTTGATGTAGGCCTATCAGTCTTTCTTCTGGTGAGCGAGGGGAGACTAGAAATACACTATCATCAACATCCTCCAAGTCTGGGGTGACACTTCTCGTGCTTGCGTTGGAAACTGCATCAACCTCATCAATACGACTCATTTCAGTTGTATTCGCTCTTTTCCTAAACATTTGATTGTCATTTTCGATTTCCTCGTGTGCTACCTTTAATTGTTGAGGTCTCCGAGATCCATAACTGGACTTGGGTCGCTGAGATGTTTTAGATTTACAAGGTTCCGTGCTAAAAGCATTCGCAGTGTCTCCTTTGAATTTCCTAGAGACAGAAGCTGTCTTCGGTCTTGAAATAGAGTGCAATGGAAGACAAGGATGAGCGTTAGAAATCGATGAAATAAGTTGAAAATCGTCTACATCGTTGACCTCAGAAGTGTCATTTAAACAAAGATTAAATCTCGATTGGTCTCTAAGAAAAGCCATTATTTGCTCCTTTTTCGAACTTTCAAATTCACTGTCCATTCGTCGTAGGGCTCCTGTATCTTGCTCCATGATGACAATTTACGTGACCACTAAACAATTGCCTTAGAATATTAGAACATTTTTATAAAATATCCCCGTAGGTTGGTAGCTTAGATAACTCGGCTATATGGAAACGCTCCTGAACTCAGTGGTGACAACACCGGAGTAATGGCTGAAGAATTGAAAAGCATTCTATATGCCAAAAAGCAATTGTACTATAGAGTTGACAAAATATAACGTTAGGAAAACAAAAACTATACACTCTTGTTTACCAACGGTTGATGATAACAATTACCACACTCAGGTGATACGACAAGGACTGCATAAAAGAAGACTTATTGAATGGACGTTTCCAGAGTTCATATGCCATTAAATATTCACCCTCCACCTGCTATTGTGGATGCATATAATTCATCGATTCAATTCGGTCTTCGAGTACTAATAACAACAATACAGATACACTTCTGCTGAGCTGATTAATCCCCTACTGAGGAATCTTCCATTGTTAAACTGATTATCCCACATTTCGTTCAGTGCAGAAAAGGGTGTAAGCGTAGTAAATGGAACACCGGCGTATCCCTTGCCTACATGTAGCGCATTTGTGAACTTATTGATCATCGATAATTATAAGGAGAATGTGTACACTGTGCTTACAACAATGGCGATTCTTGATTGCTGTCATTTGTACTTTTACACGAAGCAATGTTGCATATAAATTATAAAGTAAAAATATTGATATTGGATACTCTATTATTGGTAGTTGCAATTATTTTAAAAACCGATTTACCTATAGAAAAAAAAGTATTAGAGACATCACTTAAAAGTAGGCCTACATGGATATTATTACCGAAACTCTTGTCCAATAGATATCCACGAAATTGCCTATAGCCTACTACTTTCGGGTGTATTTAATTTAATGTTGTCCTTTGGCACCTTCATAAATATTAAAGCCAACATTAATAAATGAACTATAGTCTACAGCGTATGGCCAACAAAAACCCTGAGCAAGTTCACAAAGCCCCTAAGCAAACACATGGAGCCACTTCACTCACTAATATTGCAGCTAGTAATAATTGGGAGAAATGTACAGTGAGGAATTGAAACCCGGATTGAGAAGCTGAACCGGAAACAATGCCAAAACGCTCCATTTACGTAACGAGAAGCCATACAGGAGCATTCAGAGGGGGAAAACTAATTTGTTTTGTAAGTGTTTATCTGCAGTGGCGGATTCAAGGGGGTGAGGGAATTCGGAATTGTACCCTTCAATCAGACCGATGAAAACCACTCTAGTCCAGGGACGTAGCCAGGATTTTGAAAGGGGGGGAGCCGTTATGCGAATTACGTATGACCCCGGCGGGGTCAAGGGGCGAATCCCTCTGTGAAGTAGCGCACTCTGAACGTTCTTAGGACTGTTTGAGAGGATAAGGTGAAAATTGCAATAGACGCATTATAAATAAGCGCAAAAATAATTATATAATAAATCAACAGTGGCAGATCCAGGAATTCGAAAGAGAGGTGAACCAGGGAGGGACTTTCACAGACCGAGGAACCACCCACCTCAGCCCCACCATGGTTGAGGCTGAGGTGAGAACATTTATGATTAGGGCATCTCTAGATGGCTGGAAATTACACTCTCGCACTTCAATTTGAATATATTTTTCTTTTTTTTTTTCCTTAAACAAATGAAGGTGGGAGCCTTGAATCCACCTCTGCTCAAAACATTCTTTATCCAGAATAGTCATAATCACGAAAAATGGACATGAAAAACCAGATCACATCCTAAAAACAAACAGCAGTCACTAAGACATACATCAGGAGCCGACTCGATAGAGTTTAATGTCATACCCAGGAAAGGGCACAGATCTGTTTTGAAAGGTGAAGGGGGAGGGCATTTTCTGAGTTGACACCCACCTCAGCCCCACAATGGTTGGAGCTGAGGTGAGAAAATTTGAGGAAATAGTACCTCTAGATGGCTAGAAATGACACTTTTAGTAAAATTCATCATCATCACCATTAGTCAAAATGAAGTGCCAAAAAAAAAATTCTCATGATCTTTCATCAGGGATTTTTGACAACCATAGAGATCTTATTAATGTGTGTGTGTATACCATAGAAAACAAAGCTTAAAAACATTGTCTTTGAGTATGTACTTTACATAGGCCTACTTCAAAAACGTGATTTGACAACCACCTCAGCCCCACCATATTTGAGGAAATAGTACCTCTCGAGATGGCCGAAAATGACACTTTTATATAGTAAAATTCATCATCATCACATTACCATTATAGTCAAAATGAAACGCCAACAAATTTCTCATGATCTTTTATCTGGAATCTACTTAATATCCAGGACAACTTAGGCCTAATTATAGCTTACTAAGCTTTAGCTGTATATACTATAGTATGATCAACGAATCACACTGATGATATTGATGATGATGATGGTGATTACGATGACGACGATGATAGTGGTGATGATGATAGTGGTGGTGATGATAGTGGTGATGAAGCTGATGATATTGATGATGACTATGATGATGGTATTCATGATTGATATGAGATTACATTTTTATCAAAAACAACCAGATGCTTATGAGAAATGTTTTTTAAAGCTTTCTCAAATATAAAATTTAAAGATGAAAACAAAATATTGATTGATTAACAACAGATAGATAAATAGATTGATTAATTTGGACCTGTAGTATTAAGATGTGTATAAGAGACAGATCATATATTGAGTGAGTACGTGAACATTTAGATAAAATAAAGCGTAATAACAAAACATGTATTGCTTTCAACAGAATTTAAAGATCCTCTATCGCCATATACACGCATAAATAACGAAGAAAACTGTTGTTTAACATGGGCCTATTTAGCCTATCTATTTATGCATAGTTGAACCGCACTAGATAGGCCTATCGATGCACAGCAAATAACAGAGATCCCCATCGTAAGAATTTGAACGACATAACAGGATCTCGGAAAAGATATGCCTAGACCTACGTTTAAATCAATCATGGTTAAAGGAGATGAGTGTTAAAGAAAAGGTTGAATCTGAAAAAAGGTTGCAAACGGGCGGGCCGGGGATTCGAACCCGAACCTTCTGCAGTCTATATGCAGAGACGCCTTATAAACAAATGGTCACCGGGGCTTCGTTGATTAAATCAATTAGTTTATTTATTAATTTACTAAACATTGTAAGTAGACACCTTATTTGTTAGCTAAACGAATTAAAAAAAATGTTTCTATCATTTTCTTTATATAATTTTTCTACCATTATGAACTATAAAAGTGTTTATTTTATAATTTTAGTAAAACGTTAGCTGTTATAACAGAGCGTTGTATTGTAGTTTAGACAAAAATACATTTAATATTATTATTATCATTATGAGTCACCACTGCAACATCATGAATATTTTATTAATAAATGTTATGTTATGAACACTGGTCTGAATGATTATTTCTTTTTTTATGTTTTGTGTGTGCGTGTGTGTTTTTGGGGGGTTTTTTTTGTTTTTTGTTTTTTAATTGTGATTGTTATTGTAATGTCGAAACTGAAAAAATTAAATAAAAAGAATGTTAATGCGAAAAATGAATGAATACTTACAATCGTGTAAACGGGACAGAATTCCGGTTTGGACCGCAACATTCAGAGAGTTACAAGTTGCCACTGCTCAGTTTTTTTTTTATCAAGCAAAACAAAAAAATGGCTGGATGTTCAGGTGGTGCGGGTGAACTTTCCGAGAGAAATGACAGTGATGGTGAAATTCTTTCCATGGTTGATGTTTTAAATGCAGACAAAGATTTGGAGGAGGAAGTAAATGCTGTCTTGGGTGATAGTGATGATAAATGCTGTACATTTCCGCAGGTTAGAATTGACCCTAGGCCTATACACCTAGGCCAGGCCGATATTGAAAATATTATATCATACAGTTACCTGATTTGGCTGTCAGCAGTGAAAGTGGCTATCTGGGCCGCCTTAGTTATTTGAAATGGCAAACCTAAAAAGCTAGATTAGGCCTAGTGGCGGATGCACCCAAATGCATAGGCTTAGACTCACAAAGTTACGTCTTGTTTGCCCCAAAATTAATAATGACTTGCTGACTGTTGGACTATATTTATGTCGTCACAGTTTCTTTAGGTGTTTTGCACAGGGTGAATGCATGGCATGGCTTGGTTGGTTACTCAGGAGGGTTCTTTCGCTGTGTTTGGGGTGTGGTAGAGAGGAATGCAGTCTGTCCCTGTGCTGTTGTGTGTCATGACGTCATCTAAGTAATTTAAGTTTAGGCCTGTTATTGGCACACGCCTGCAATAAGTGTGACATGATCCATTTACAATAATGTGCTGCAGTACATTAAAAATTAAATAATGCGTTTTGTATATTATTTTTACAGGGTTACCTTGGTCGGCAGGCACTGTATGCTTGCGAGACATGTTGTCCCACTGGTGTTCCAGAAGCAGCCATCTGCCTTGCATGCAGCTATGCATGTCATGAAGGTCACAGCCTCTTTGAATTGTATACTAAAAGGTACATGGATCCTTTTGCATGGAAGGCATCAAATAATAAGTTCTCGTAATCTCGAAAGCTCCGATGAAGGCAGCATAATAAAGCAGTAGGGTTAAAAAAGATCTATTAATTAATCAACTATTAATTAATTAGCCTCATGAGGGCAGCATAATAGAGGCAGTAGAGTTAAAAAGATCTATTAATCAATCAACTATAATCAATCGGCTGTGTGTTTCTAGAGCTCCTCATCAGAGCTAAAACTAATTGTCTTCAGTGACATTATGATCCGCATTGGTAGGCTCACCTTTCTAGAGTGTAAATCAAACTTCACAACTGACCAATCAGAAAAGTGCGATGAATACGCGCATATCCAACAAACACATACTTCGTCATACACACACATTTCGTGGGATCTTAGCAAAAATATCCAAGAGGCGCAGCTTAGGGGAAATATCCATTGTCTTGTGAAAGAAGCATAATTAGGATATCAACATTAACAGACATCACTTACCTCTGGTACTGTAGCAGACATAAATCTGTCTCAGTATTTTTTTTTTATATGGACAATTGATGCTTCACCAGATAGTATCTCAGTTGGATGCTGATATATTTTTTGTCCCTTTCTTTTAAAATAGAAATGTCAGGTGTGACTGTGGGAACAGTAAATTCCAGAACTTCACTTGTAAGCTCTTCACTGTAAGTGCATTTTTATATACTGTAGGTAATTGTAACCTGATATCTTGGATGCCAGGTGCAAGTCAGATGCCGTTGTACCAGCGTTGAAGATGGTGATGATGATGATGGTAATGAGGATGACAATGATGATGATGCTGATGATATTGATGAAGATGATGATGATGGTGATTACGATGACGAAGATAGTGATGATGATAGTGGTGATGATGATGGTGATAATGATGATGACGATGATGATGGTGGTGGTGATGATGATGCTGATGATATTGATGATGACTATGATGATGGTATTCATGATTGATATGAGATAACATTTTTATCAAAAACAACCAGATGCTTATGAGAAATGTTTTTTAAAGCTTTCTCAAATATAAAATTTAAAGATGAAAACAAAATAAACATTGATTGATTAACAACAGATAGATAAATAGATTGATTAATTTGGACCTGTAGTACTACCTCTTCTTTTACTTCTCGATGATTTTATTTTAGAACAAGCCAGATGTGAATGAAGATAATAAATATAATCAAAATTTCAAAGGACTGTACTGCACATGCAAGCGACCCTACCCTGATCCAGAGGACAACGTAAGTTTAAAAAAAAAATGTACTTTGGGCTATGTGTCCAGATACTGGTTTTGATGTTTACCTTATGAACTACTGTACAGTACTTTCAGGGGGCTCAAGTTTCCCGCACATTGCAGAAGGCCTAATGCACTATCGTGAGCAAGTAAGGGTCTCCCGTAATTTCACGATATTTGCATGTTTTTACTATTGTATTATCAATTGTCTCCCAATGGGTATCACCATATCACCATGCATAGCAAAATATAATTAGATATAAACGGATCTTCCGGATGTGGATTTTTCCAACTTGAGACCCCTGTCCTTTTAAATAAGAAGCACAAAGAGGCCCTAAAATTATTTACAATGAGCAACAGATTGTTATTTATGTTTGTATTATTATTAATTAATTGATTGATTAAATTATTAATTGATAAATATCACTATGTATTTATATTTCTGTAATAGGTAGCTGATGAAATGATTCAGTGTATATTGTGCGAGGACTGGTATCATGGCCGAGTAAGTACTGTATTTGAATCATTTTTTTTTTCTTCCTTTTTTGATCATATAACATGTGATTCCATGCATAATTTCAGTAGTTGGAAACTTAGTATCACTATTAGTCACAAGAACAATCCCAGAATGTTTATAATATATTTTCTATTTTGTTTGTTTTCAACAACTGAAAGTCCCCATTATCATATTAACTCTCATCATCATATCATATACCTGTATCACCAATTTAAATAAAGTCACTAATGATTTAATTAAAGGTTACACTATTGTACTGTAATGGAGTGTATTTGTAGTATACATATTTCCCCATATAAAATTATAAAGTAACACTACTTCAGTATCATATACTTTAGAGGTTTTAAAATATTTTATGGTACAGTATAAAAAAATGATATGAAACTGCTATCAAAACCAGTACCTAAATGCAATGCTAACTGTCCATGAAGCATGATTTGTAAGTCATAAAACATGATCTTACCACTCCATTTCTGACATTACATAACTAAACAACTTAACTGAACAAGATAACGTGGCAACATACTGTATCTTGATTGATCATATTGTTCTTTTTATCAACAATAATCGCGACGTCCACATATTAGAGGGTTAGTGAACCCTAGTACTTAATAATTAATATAATAATTAACATTAATATAATAATTAACATTTTATTTTAATTAGCACCTTGGTACCAATCCGCCAGTGTACTTAGACTATCAGGAAATGGTATGTACAGCATGTATGGAGAAAAACAGTTTCCTATGGGCCTATGCAGTAAACAGCATTGGTAAGTAGTGCATTCAAGGAAGGGAAATAGTTGAGTTTCCTCTCTGCTCTCAGAAGGGACTGATGACCTTGCATTGGAAAATTGGCAAAAATTGTGGCCAAATTTATTTAACAACATTGTCTTCAGACACTCTTTAAGTTTTGTGAAGTTCTTGTAGAAAATATACCTTCATATAAATTGTAATTTCTTATGGGGAAACCCATTTGTGGAGAGGCTACTGCCAAACAGTAGGCAAAGGGTGTTGGGTTCGGTTATTTTTTTCTTAATATTATATTACATAAAATTCTTTGCTTGAATTCAATAGTTTTATCTTCCAAATATATCGTTTTGTTGTCAGAATGACTGTTGTTTTCACAGATGGTTTGGTAGACTACTCTCCAAAATATATGTAACATATTATTAAATTTGATGTTTTTGATTGACAGAAACAAAGTGTATTGAAAATCAAGAAGAAAAGTCAAAAGACCTTGTAGATATTGAGAGTAAGCCAAACCCTGAGCAGAATTGTGAGGGGACGGAGAAACCAAGCAGCTGCCAAGAGGATGGTGACCCCACTCTTAAAGAAATCAATCAAACAGATGATAGCACAAGTGTAACGCCAGATGAAACAACCATAGCGACAGTTGCAAACACTTTATCTCATGACCAAAGGCCACCTGATTCAACAAAAAACAAAAGTATACAATCACAGACTTTGGATTCACCATCATGTTCCACTGATGGTGAATCGAAAGTAGACAGTATTAAATCTGAAGACACTGGTGCTCAAGCGATCAACAATATTAAATCAAAAGAAGACGACGATACTACTAAAGCAGAGACTGAAAAAGAATGTATGCTAGAAGAACTAATGAAAAGGAGTTTCAAATCAGCACAGCATGCTACCTTCTGGCCGAATGGTTGGAGGGCGAAGTTGTGTTCTTGCCCAAAATGCAAGGTACGTATGCTTAAAAGGGTACTCAAGTAAATCATAATATGTTGGTAATGGCCCTGTCACACCTTGGCGATTTAGTCAGTGTAGCCAAACGTATCAAAATTTCTCTAAAACACTGACATACGCTAAATTATCGATGTTTTTTTCAACCTTGGGCGCATTCATAGTGAATTCATAACGTTTTGGACGTATAAATAACGTATTAGTAAATTATATAGAACGTTTTGATTACTTATAGAAAACTTACACGAACAAATGCTTAGCGTGTTGCCGGCGATAGTCTACCTTATGTACAGCGTGCGGCAGCGTATCGCCGATTATCACGTGACGTAACCTATAAATAGGCTGTCACTCGTCGATTCAAATCATAACCGCGCTAGACATCGCAGTATCAACATCACCGTATTGACATCACCCCATTTAATATACCTATTCCCCTAAAGTTAGAAACACGTTCAGTAAGTTTTGCGGTCATCTGGAACTCATCAAATACGTCTGCATACGTCAATATACGTTGGAGATAAGTTCGTTATATGTTACATGTAAGTTCGAAGCACGTTACTCATAGGTTAGAAATACTTTTTGACTTTTGAGTAACTTACAAGTAACGTGTGTCAACGTTCGCTTAACTTACCTACAACTTATAGCCGGGTATGCGGAAAGTACGAGCCATACGCTGGCATACGTCAAAAAGTTTTGCGCATGCACAAAACTTTTCACCGTACTAGGACGTATACCAGCGTGCTTCAGCGTGCTCTGAACTTATACGAAACTTACCAATAACTTATTCGACGTATGCCAGCGTATTTGCCATTATTTTTAGCCAGCATACGCTGGCTAAATCGTCAAGGTGTGACAGGGCCATAACATTTAGCCATCGCTAGATGCTAAATCTTCTATCTAATCTTGAACATACAACTGATTTTCCTGGTGGTACAGTAATATACTAATTTTTAACTGCAAAATAACTTTATTAATTCTTTTTTATAGGAGCTGTACAAAAGCAAGAATTTGGAATTTCTCCCAGATATGTCTGATACGGTGCTAGCTTACGAGGAAAGGGGAAAAGCGAAGCAAACACCGGGTGAAACGCAGTACGACCGGGGAATTCAAGCGCTGTCAAACATGCACAGGACACAGCAGATTGAAGTGATCTCAGGTTACTGCCAATCTGTCATTTTTTGTCACAATTGTAGCTGAGCCCACATTTATCATTCTACGCAAAAATTAACTCTCAGTATAAATATAATACTAAAAGTAATCTTCAGTTAATTACTGTAAACAAGTAGATAAAAATAATAATAATAAATGCTCTTTACTGAATTTATTGGATGGAAAAGTGGATGAGCTCCTTGTAGTCATCGGCCAATATGTTTGTCAAAGGAATAGGATTACTGTAGTTAGTATGGCATCATTTTTTAGGGAGCTCATCAAGGCTGTTTGTATATGCTGTGAATTCTAAATATTATGATTATTATAATTATTATTATTAATATTATCATCATTGATATTATCTTGCAGAATACAACAGTTTACAATCAGAACTAACAGATTTCCTGAGAAAATTTGCAGAGGAAGGAAAAGTAAGCCATCTAATAAATATTTGTTATTCTTATCAAGGTTTAACTCTAATAATCAAACTCATAAATAATGATTTAAAATTAAACTATTTATGCTACTCTCAAAGACCAGTCAATAGTACCAATACTCGTTATAGTGTTTGTGTTGCTTACACATCATAAACCCAGTGGCGTAGAAAAGTATTTTTCATTGGGGGGGGGGGAGAGATGATTGGCGTGTTAGCGCAGATGTGTGCGCTTGTGCGGACAGGGGATGTGCCCCCCTCTGAAGCTGGAAACCTTATTTTTGCAAAATAAATTGATGCAATTTGATGACTACTTTTAGTGAAATTTTGATCAAAATGAAAATAAAATTTACCATTAATAATATGACAAATCTGTATCTGTGAGATATTCAAAATGCAAATTATTTCTGTGACAGTCTTTTGAAGTGTGTAAAGCTCCATTTTATCCCATACATATTCAAAATATTGGGGGGGACCAACAATGGACCATCCCCCCTTGTCAAATATATCCCCCCCCCCCCCCCCCCCCACCCCCGC